CTCCTCCTTGAAATGCCTGTTGCCTGTCTTTGTCTTCAATGCACCTTAGTCACTGGTCCCAAACAAGCGGGCATAAAATAAACGTGAGAATTTCTTATCTTTGTACTTGCTCCAAGTTAGTGACTAGAGATGAGCCTGCACTTGGTGCAAACCCAGTTCACCTGAATTCACCCAAGCCCGCTCCAAACTGTGACCACCACCCCCTTCCTCCTGACCCAGTATCAGCAATTGTGGCGGCAGTATCCCCTGCCCCATTCTGATGTATAGCGGCGGGGCAGGAAATGTGCCTCTCTGCAATTGATCAGGTCGGGTGGGAGGGGTGGCTGTTACAGTTTGGAGCAGGCTTGGGCTAACTGGGTTCACACCAAGTCCAGTCTCATCACCGTTAGTGACTAACAAGCCTTTGTTAAGCCAAAGCCAAAGAATCAACATGACAGCCAAGATACAGAGGTCAGCAATGGCGGCCTTCGTATGACAAGTAACCTTTAATCAGTTGAACGTTATCAGTACAGAGATAATCAGGAGTAGAGTACTGGTTGAAGTGAGCAGGGCCGAATCTAGGAGGGCAGACGGGCATGTGCCCCAGGTGCCATTTTAGGAGGGGTGCCATTGGCTGTGTGGCTGGAGAATTTCTCCCTTGGCGTGGAGTAACTCTCACTTACAGAGCCAATAACCTGGAAATCTGATGGCTTTTCTAATCACCCTTATTTTATTTTTTTCTACTGTGCTTAGCAAAACAAAAATCACTTTAATGGCTTTACCTTTATTTTTTGGAGTGGAACTTCACCTATTACTTATTTAAGTCATTCTAATCTGAGTAGAGGAAAGCAGCGTTTGATTCCCGTGCTGTGCTGTGAGCTGAACTCTTGCTGCAGTGCATTCTCCCAATATTCCTATAAGAAACGCATGATCAGGCAGGTGAAGCCATCACACTGGTGTCATTGGCCCCTAGTGAATGCTTCATAACAGGAACTAGGAGGGTCAGCTGATGACCTCCCCTCTATGTTAATGGAAAACAATAAAGACCCAGCAAGGGGATCAAACATTTCTTTTAGTCCACTAATTTCCTAAGGAGAACCTGTCACAGCTGGGATTATGCAGGAACGGGAATACTCATTCCTTAATGTATGTAATCTCATTCATGAAGGCCTCATATTTCTCCCGTATTTAGCATTGTTTATTATATCTAAGCCTAACTTCCAACTGGCGTGTCAATGGCTGTTGTTGCCTGTTTGGTAATCTCTGACTCAGCAATTAAAGCTCCCAATTTTATCCTTACAGTTTCCCTTTGGGGAAAAAAGGTTTGGGGTTGTTTTTTTCAGGTTATATGTCCATTTTACAATCCCTGCAGTCATGAGGGGTTTAAATACCAATGCTGACATTGAACTACTGACACGAAATGTATATTTAAGACACCACTGGAACCATAAAGTTTAATCGGCCAAGATGGAATCTGTGATGCAGCCTCCCCACTGCTCTAAGTAAAAAGCACAGAGCTGTGGTTCAAAGGCCATTCACTCCAACACATTATTAGCATGCATCTCTATATTTACCTGGGGGGGAAAGGATTCTTTGTTGGCTAGATTATTATTAATGACCAGCCACCACTTATTGCCCAATAGGTCATGCAAATGGAATGGTGGTTGTTCAGTAGGGCACAGTACACTGCACGATTAAAGTACGAGAATCGCGGGAAATCCCGCGATCGTACGATAATCGTACAGTGTATGGAAGGCGTGCAACCGTTTCTACTGTACGGTCGCACGTCTTCTGTCGAACAAGCAGGCTGGAAAACCCGCCGAGAATCGAGTTGGTGGCCTGCTTGTTCGAGTTGGTGGCCTGCTTGTTCGACAACTGCCGAACGGGTCGCTGTGCGCACGCGCACACTGCCTGTTTGCAGTCATCTGAAGCCCGCCCCTCATTGCAGTCATCGGAAGCCCGCTCCTCAGGGGGGTGGGCTTGCTATGATCGCAAGTACGATCTGTCTGTCCAAGATGGGCAGATCGTATGAGCTTTTAATTAGCTTACAACTAGAGCTGCAGCTAACGATTATAGTGTATGATCAGAACATTTCCTTTGTACATTCAACACACACTAATCATTCTTTACCATCAAACTAAATTTCTAAAAATAAACTGATAACCTGTGAAAAACTTTTTTTTATATCTGTGCACCCAAAGACTGTTTCCTAGAGGTGCACCGAAATGAAAATGAAAAAACGAAATGAAAAAAAATGTCAGGCCGAAACCAAAAATTATTTTTATTCTATCTTTTAAAAACTATTTAATTTTTTTATATTTTATTAATTCATTTTTATTAAACATATTTATTTTTTACTTTACTTTTAGGGGCTTTGGGGGAAATATTAGGGGTCTAAACAGACCCCTGATATTTCCCTTTTAAAAAGAAAAAGTCCTCAATCTCTTTTTCTGTGTCAATGAACAGGAATCCTCTATACTGAGTGTTCCTGTCCATTCATAACATGAGAACAGAGTATATTTGCTATAGCAACAATCATGAATGAACAGGAGGAGATGTAGATCACTTCCCATTCATTCATAATTCAGGATATAGTCAACATACTATGTCCTCAATTATGTACAAACACTCAACGATCACTAATCGCTGAGTGTTTGTACCTCGCTCTCCATCCTGACAGCTGTCACAGGAGGCTGAGCGAGCGATGACAGTTTCACTCCTGCTTGCTGGGACACAGAGCAGTGCCCAGCAGGGAGGAGAGAAATCACAGATGCACCACATTATCGCCCAAAAATATATCGGCGGCCGATATATTGTTGCATCCCTACTTTTTTCTTCTGCTATTGCTTTCCTGATGATTTCTATTGTCATTCAAAAATAATCTAATGCACAGGTGTACATAAACCATGGTATAAAAGATGTCTCTGATGGTTTTTATTCATCTAGGTCAGGGGTGCCCATTAGGTAGATCGTGATCTACCAGTAGATCTCAAAGCTGATGCTGATAGAAGGGTGTGAATGGTTGCCCCTTTATTCCATTTTGGTATATTTATTTAGCTGTGCGCACGATTACCTATTAGCCTGAGTCTGCTGAGCCAAGCTCCCTGACACCTTTCTGGTGGATACTGGTGGTTGAAGTGCTTTGTATTACATCAAAGAATATTAGTTTACGCAGCCTGTTGCAAAATACAGCAAGGTGACCCAGGAGAGAGAGCGAGGAAAGACAGCCAGGAGGATGAGCAAGGAGAGACAGCCAGGAGAGAGCGAGGAGAGATAGCCAGGAGAGAGAGCGAGGAGAGATAGCCAGGAGAGAGAGAGCGAGGGAGGTTTTTTTGTCGTTGGTAGATCTCATGTAGCTTGCCTTTTGAAAAGTAGATCTTAACACAAAAATTGTGGGCACCTCTGATCTAGGTCATGGTATATCTGTAAAAAATAAATCAAAACAACTGGACTTGCTGTATTTTTCTTGAAGACGTTTGGCTGGTCATCCAGCTATCTTTCTCAATTCAGAATGACTTGTACAAAAATTATCTGGGAATAAATATGGTGAATGTAATAAACACCTTACCTCCATGAGGTCCCTGACTCCATGCTGGTAATGATGAAGAGATTAGATTGATTGGAGCAACATCTTTATTCCCAGATCATTTTTGTACACTTCATTCTGAATTGAGAAAGCTGGTCGGAAGACCAGCAACCATCTTCAAGAAAAATACAGCAAGTCCAGTTGTTTTGATTTATTTTCTACAGATACATGGTATGAAAGATTTGATAAGCTGTTCTTCGATATGAATGATAAGAGGTATTGAATTCTTATATATCCCTACCATTTGAGGAACACATCATGATAAAACTATTATGAAGTTGGTGGGTTGCATCCTGAAAAGTACCTGATGCTGAGTTCTAGGTAGATGTGCTGAAAGGCTGGAAAGTCTGACATGTCACTATGTGCCCTGATGAAGGTACCCTGCGTGGCCCCAAAACGTTGGCCATGTGATATTTGTGACAATATACTTGGATAGATGAACACTAAGATTTGAACGTCATCTTCTAAATGTTGGTGATCTTCATTTTCTACTACTTGATGTACACGGCGGCGCCCGTGATTATCACTTCTAGCACCACTATTGTTATTGGTCCTAGACGCTGCAAGGGGCATGGGGGGACACATCGGTATACTAGGCTGGAAAGTCTGACATGAACTAGTAAGTTCAAATGTAATGATATCAGTTGGTGAAAACTACAGGTTTAAAGGGCTACATCACCAAAAATATATATATTCCGCTTTCAGCAGATGCCAGACAGTGAAAGCCAACCTATTAGCTTAGTACATCTCTACTGTATTGAGATTTCAGTGCTTCAGTTCCCAGATCTGCACATCTGATACCCCCCTATTACAAGGGGGTACCTTTCTCCATGATGGATCTTTCATTCATATTATATTTGAAGGATGCAACAGGATGAGGCAAGGTAAGTGGAAACACCCCAAACTCCAAGGCAGGTGGGCCAGAGCAGTAGGGAGACCTACCAATAGAGTCCCTAAGAGATATAAGAAACCAGCAAGGGTATCACCCAATTAAACTCTTTTTATAATAGAAATATGACTTTTGTGTGGTCTGACCCTTTAAGAATAATGGGACTGTTCCATGCAAATGCTGCTTAGCTGTACTATTTGGTATACACTGAGAAATAGGAAATAAGGTCTACGGACAGATTTACTAGGCAAGCAAGGCAAAACGTGTAATTCCACGAGGGATTCTGCTGCGTGTAGCAATCTGCATCTCTATGACATATTACTGGCTTCATAAGTGCCCACTTCTTGCTGACTAAGACATCCCCTTCTTACCAAATGACTTCTACAGTAGACTCAGCTGTTCACCCCTGGAGAGGCTCACATTACACACACAAGGGCTCTGCTATCTGATCCTCTGACTACTATTCTTTAAAGTCTAAAACAAAACCAGATGCACAATCTGACATATTCCCCAAAGTTTACCCAGACTCATCCTCGGCTTACTAACAGTGTAGATCTTCTGCTTTACAGGGTTTCCAGGACACGAGGATCAGAATGAGGAGGAGAGCCAGGGAAGAGCTCTGCAGCCATTGGAGATGCCCAGTCATTCTTCCTTTTAGGAGATGTCCCAGCAATGGCAGATGCCCCCAACGAAGGGAGATGGTCACATCTTGATGACGGTTCCAGTTGTTCTCCGGATGACATGAGGCATCCATACACATATCAGGACACATAGCCTCATGTCTGGCTGTGCTGGACTGGAGCTGTAGGCACTTGTCAGCTGTTAGGGGGGGTTTATAGTGTTCATATGTGCAGCATCTCATAGTGAAGCTCCGCAGCAAGTCTAAACCTGCACCATATGGATGTGTAGAGGCCAAGCTCCCAGTTGGTCTGTGAATGAAACCCATAAATAAAGTAGATTCAGTGCATGATACAAGACAGATGAGAGTATTTTCCAGCCCTGTCAGGTGTACATTCAGCACCTCAAAAGACAAACCGCATGACGTGGAAACGGACAATGACCCTTCTCTCACCACAGGAAGATGTGAGCGCGTCAGGCCATATGGAATATACATTAACATCTATGATCTGTTCCGTGTCAGGAGTAATGGAGGAAATTCAACTTTTATCTGGGGCATATACATTGGAAAGCTTATGTATGAAAATGTACAAACTGAACACTGCTGGGCGACTAATTAGCTTTATTGTATGTTGTGTGGCAGGGGCGGGCAACTCCAGCCCTCCTGCTGTGTTTTAACTACATCTCCCATCATGCCTTTGACTCTGGGAGTCCTGCCTGTAACTGTCAGTCTTGCAATGCCTCATGGGACTTGTAGTTCCACAACAGCTGGAGGGCTGGGGCACATTCCAATCACTGCATGTGCCAGCCTATCTCAACCATAGTGCTGTGGTACCCCAGGGTGCCTTCGGGCGTCAGCAGGGGTGCCTTCAAATTTTCACTAAAGGGGGTTACTCTGATATGGAGGGGGCTATTGATGTGAAGGGGGGCATCTGATGTGAAAAAGGAGGGCTCTGATGTGGAGGGGGACTTCTGATGTAAAAGGTGAGGACTATGATGTAATGGGGGACTTCTGATGTAAAAGGTGAGGACTATGATGTAATGGGGGCCTTCTGATGTAAAAGGTGAGGACTATGATGTGGAGGGGGACTTCTGATGTAAAAGGTGAGGACTATGATGTGGAGGGGGACTTCTGATGTAAAAGGTGAGGACTATGATGTGGAGGGGGAC